CATTGCTTGCATTTTGCCATCATTGCCACTTTCTTCTACTATGTCTTCATGTCCTTCATCAGACTCCAATATGAGCTTGCCCTTTCTTTCCTTATGATGACACTAAAATTTATAGCTTTTAATAAGTCCGTGAACAATCGAATAGGTCTTTGATACTCAAGGTTACTAGATTTCACATCGTTGCATTTAACACATGGGATTAGATGTCAAAATATTTGTTCTTTTGTTTGGAACTATCTTTCACCTAATTTCTCATATACATAGTTCAAAAACCTATCAAGCCTCCCTTCATAGTCTATATTAGTTTTATCATCATCAACAAGGTTAATTCAATTTACATTGGCTGCCATTCCAAGTGATAGACTAAAATTATCTAAGAAAACTGAAGTATTTCAATAACTATGTCAAAACCTAATAACTAAACCCAATGGTTAATTCACCTTTATATAATTCAGATTTGCAGCTATATAGTTGTTTAAGACTAAACCAAATAAGATCAAAAGGTTCAGATGAGTCAAAGGGGGGAAGCAAGTGTCATTATTTTGTTGTGCACAGAGCTTTTTGAATCTCTAGATCTCTCTCACCCAAAGGGCTATAATATTTACCAGCATCAGTAATCCTAGAAGTCTACAAAACATAAATACACCAACTCAATAGCAACCATAAAGTCTATAAAAAATAAGTACACCAAATTCAATAGCAGATTCCTACTTTCTGTTAAGTAGGCAACATATCTCAGTATCTGTCAACGTAGAGTTTAAGAAAAAAAACATTATTATTTTAAGACATCACAAGCTAATTCTAGAATTAGAATTTGACATAAATGTCATAAAAACAATATGCAAGCTAATTAATTCATTTAACGCAATATGATTTTAATGTATAGCCTATTCAAGACCAAGATTAAGTATCACACACCTAATAACTCCTTAAATTAAGTTTACAAAATGTTTACATATTTAGTATAACTAAATCAAATCTGCCTCAAGATCATAATGTTGATAACTCCAAGACCATAACAAACCCCCACTTAATTTTACAAGACACTGATTTCAGCTTTCAGCACACATACAAAAATATAATTTAAAGGAATTATGGAAATAATTTTACCCGGAACATTAATACCGGGTATATTAAAGCTTGTGCATTCAGACTACCAAATCAATTGACACTAAAATCAATCAAACTTTTCTTGACAAAAAATTTGACAAAAAATATGTTAGATATAATATCTTCTACAACAGATGCATCACAACATTATTTCGAGTACATAAGTGTTGGGGTCATGTCTTGCATCTTATTGAGCATCCACATAACATTGTATGTGGTCAATTTGATAGAAGATTTTTTTTAATTATGCTTTAATTATATGGACTAAAATAACATAGTAGTAAGGCTACATGATAGATGGTGCTATAATTCTATTGCTATACAAATTGTTTCTAGGTAAAGGGAGAGGCGATTATGGAAAAACGTAAGGATTTGAAGCAAGAAAATTTGGAACATATTAGACCCACAAATAGTTAATTAATAAGAGAATATTTAATTAACAAGAAGAGTAATTAATTAACAAAAGATGTATAAAACCCTAATTATTTTTAAAGCCCTAACAGAAAATTTTCTTAAAATGTTACAGGTTAAATCCCTAGAAACTAAACCTAAAATAAAATAAATTAATGTAAAAGATTTTTATGTTGGATCTGCATGGTACACATAGAGAACAAAAGAGTTTCACTTGTCATTTCTATACATGGAATAAGAGGTATGAACATTGGTGAAGGAGTAGGAGATGTTTTCACGGTTGGCAAAGAGTTGGTGCGGCTATGAATAAGTGGTGTCACGTAGGTCAGAGGAGGAGGTGAAGGCAAGCAGCGAGAATGAGGTGGAGTAGGCGTAGCTAGAAGGAGGAGGTGGAGTAAGCGTGGCGAGTAGCAGATAGAGTGAGGAGGACATAGAAGACTTTTAAGTGATGCAAAGGAGAAGAGAAGATAACTTCTTTCTTTTTTGCGCCTGGGTTTAGCCATGTACAAGAGAAATTAGAGAGACAGAGATTGAGGCTATGTAATGAACATGGAATAGATATAATTGATGACAAAGCTTGCAAGTGATATTCCCAAAAAAAACTTTTAGGCGGGAATTGTACTTTAGTGGGTTAAGGATAAACCTTATTCCTAATAGGAGTAAAAACTATAACAAAATAAAATGTCTCTTGACTTGAGGTTTAAGTTTGCTTTCATTATATTGATATAGAAATGTTGTATCGAAAATCCAACTTTTAGACTGGCATCGTAATTAGTGGGTTAATGAAAAAACTAGGAGTAAAAACAACAAAATAAAATGCCTTCATGACTTCCAGTTTATATTTTCTTTCATTATATTGATATATAAATGTTGTATGGAAAATACATGATATTAAATATTACTGGTGCTATAAATGTTTTTTATTGTTACTAATGATTATATGCAAGCTGGATTTAAATGTACGATGAACTTTATAAGGTCGAGATACCTACTCATTTGTGATACCTAATAGAGTAACCCCATTTTTACCCGAAAGCATTGGTCATTTCTTTCTCTGTCAAAGAGAAGAAACTATTCTCTGAGATGCTTCTTGCTAAATATCTTAGTGATGGTTTTATCTTTGGTGAGCCTTGGTGCTTATTTTGTTAGAATTTTCTATACTGGTGCCTCAATTTTTGTTTAATCTAACCAATTTCTTTGTTGGTTTGTGATGAAGGGCTTCTATTAGAGAGAAGGCTCTGTTGGAGCTTGTGGATACATTTGAAAGAGGTGTGCTTCAGGAGCAGTTAGAAACCTGGTTAGCCTCATCTACAACTAAATTTAAGAACAGATTTCGGCAAATTTTCAGCTAGTTAGCTAGTAAATTCTTATAAATGGGTTGTTTAACACTCTGTCTTTACCAGTTTGTTTCTTGACATCACAATTTAGTAAGTCCAAAAGTTTTCTAATATATGCCTTTTTAGTTAACCTTTAGAAATTTATTCTTCTAGGATACAAGTCACTTATCATATCAGAGTTATGTGAAATACATTGTTTATCAGTTTTCTTGAGCTAACTTATGTTGCTACTGAAGTGTGAGGAGACTAGTGATCTGTATGTTCCTAGTACTTCTCATCCACAACTAATGCAAATTGGTTGTAGATTTGTCAATACTTGACGCACACTGCTAATAGTTAAGGGTTGTCTGTCACTAGCTCCTCTACATACTACTACATTCTACATGTTCCTATTACGAAAAAACAAAAAGAAAAAGAAAACAAAAAAAAGCAAAAAAACAAATAAACAAAAAAAGGAATCTAAAAACTTGAAATGGGGTGCGTATCATATGTTTCGTTATCTTAATTTGCATAATTAAAATTTAGACTCCTATAGGTTCATTACCTTACGTTGAAAAATCCTATATGTTCATTACCTTACGTTGAAAAATTGCACATAATAAAAAGATTTTTAAACTCCTACAAGTGATTGATTCATTATCTTATGTCGCAGTCTGCTTAGACAACAAATCTAGACACAGCTCACATGTTTTCACAAAATGCACTAACTTTACACACATATTTATTGCGGAAGGCTCATGTAAAGCTTAACTATGGATCCTTCTCTGGAGCATGAAACATTAGATGTATAATTAACTATAATAATATACTAGCTAGGCAGATGCTAATCCTTCCAGTTATCTGGGATACCTTAAGTTTTAAGGATATAATGCTAGAAAAACCTAGGAAAGACAAAATGAGGTTAGTGTAACCTCAGCCTGAGAAGTGTTTGACTGTGAGATCTATCTCTTTCTCGTGTTCTGTACCACTAGCAGTTATCAGAAATTTGCTTAAACTACAAATTACTTTGTTAACATAGACCACATATTTTAGATAGTGTAATCTTTGACAATGTGTGGTTCAGTGAATCTGTTTTTTAGTTCAAGATCATGGATTAGTATCAAATCCATTTCAAATCTAAATTTACATTTCAAAGCAATTGTGAGACTGCTTGTTACTTTCAGCGAGTTGAGTAATTGTTATTGCTACTTGTTAGTTGCACTATGTATATTATAGTCTAACTTATCATATTTCCAGGTGCATAACAATATTTTATGGATGTCTTAACTCATTTTTTGAGGGATCAGCTTCTGAGTCCTGTTTAGCTTCGCGTGTTATCGGTAATTCTTCAAACCTTCAATAAACTTGCGTTAAAAGTTTACTTTTCTCCGCCCATTCTTACTGCATTCCTTTTTCTGTTTGAAGGATTTCTGGCCATCACTGTTGGTGCTGTAAGTGATTCTCATGAAATGATGCAAAATTCAATTCCAAGACTTTCTCTGGCTTTGGAAGCCAATTGTGAATTGCTTAGGTTATCAGTAAGTGTGATATTGCATTGTTATTAGACTGTTGGCTATCAATTTCAAGGGAGCACCTCTTATTCTTTTCATTAACAATTTGGATAGGTTCTTGATTGCTTAGCAATCACAACCTTTTTTGGGGCAAATGAAGTGGATGAAGTGGAGACTTCTATGAGCATCATGTGGGATATATTTCATTTAACATCCTTTTCTGAGGTATACAATCATAGCCTATATTTCACATGAAACATACAATTGTTGGACATCAGTGAGAATCATAAGCTATAATTTATTATTATTATTATCTATATTTTCATTCAATTTATTTCTAAAATTTATTTCTAATAATAACATCGAAAATACTCATTATGTAGCCTGGAGAGATGAACGAGCTTTCTGCTGCTGTACTAGCAAAGGCAATATCTGCATGGTCCCTTCTTTTAACAAGAATTGATAGTTGGAGAATTAGTCAACAATTATGGAAGGAGTAAGTGGAGATGAAAAGGATTATTCATTGTTATTATTATTATAGTACTATTATCACCATTTTCTAATAGTTTGATAATCTTTGTCTTTCTAATGTCACTCCAGGTCAATTTCAATCTTTTTTACTTTACTAGACGATGATGATTGTGGGGTTCATATTGCTGCTGCTGAAGCTATTGCTGGTATTATTGAGACAAATAGGCTAGATAAGTTTACGCGAAAAGGTGATGTGGACATCACAGAGATAAGTAGTAAAATTAAGAAGCTAGTAGACAAAGCAAAAGGTAGTCCAATGGAAGATCTTAAAAGAGCGAGGGAAATGCTTGAGCCAATTTTGGAGTTCCTTGAGGTTTGTGTTTCATACATAATCAGCACAGTATAGTTGTTTTTAACACCATATATTGCATATTGTGTGGACACTAATTCTTAGAGTATTATTGATATCCAGACAGGCAAATATCATGTGGAACCAATAGATATTCCAAATATGCGTGACCCTCTGGAAGTTTCGACAGCCACAAAGTCTATAGAGGTTGGAATTTGTTTACGGTTACCAACTTTCTCCATCACTGTTCTGCATGTCCTTGTTCAATATTTTGCTTATGTTGTTGGTTAACAGATAAAGTTCTTTAACTCCTTTCTTGGATGGAGTGGCTTCCTCAAGCATATGCAGGTATATCTTTAATATTTGCACAAAGTAACTTCCTCCTCCCTAAATCATCGGTGAACTCTCAACTTCTGCCCTGGAGCTGTAGAGTGTCAATTTGCCAAACCCTCCCCCCCCTCCAAACAAAAAAAAACCCTCTACTAACCAAAAAAATAAAAAAATGAATATGCTCAATATGGTCATTTTGTAAGCTCATAGTCAAATATGTAACAACGTGGCAGTGTTTTTTTTGCATTTCTTAATGGGGTTTCTATCCGTTTGTCTCCTTTCACCCCAAACCTAAAAAAAGAACATTGTTGTGTAATCAATCTGTTAAATATTTGGTTGTGGGCTAAAATGACATAACAACTTTGGAAACATACATATGGGTTTTTTTGGTTGGGTGGTGGT